GGAGCTCGAGACTGTGTTTTTGGAAGATACCCGAAAGTCTTTCCGCACTATGGTCCAGACCGAGGAGAAGAAGCGCGCCGCCAAGGAGGCTTCGGAACGCGCGAAGTCGGCTGTCAATGTTGACGACTCTTTCAACATCCGCCAGCTGAAGAAGAAGGACGCGGATGGCAGCGATGAGATCGAGCAAGATCTCGAAAGGGCGACCGGAGGCGACACTGCGACTGAGGATCTCACATCCAAGCTCAGTCGCGTTGTGCAGCTTACTGGTTTCTCCGACTCGGTATACGCAGAAGCATATGTCAAGGTGCGTCAACACAACCCACTGAAAGTATCCACTAACTCTGCTAGGTCCATCAATTCGATATCGTCCTCGATGTTCTGCTAGTAAACCAAACAACGGAGACGCTGCAAAATCTCACCATCGAATTCGCGACTCTTGGTGACCTCAAGGTCGTCGAGCGTCCTTCAACACAAAATGTTGGTCCTCACGACTTTATCAACATTCAAGCCACAATCAAGGGTAGGCTTTTCCCGTTTGCACTTTTCGGTTCGCATGCTTACTTTTACAGTCTCATCCACCGATACCGGTGTCATCTTCGGTAACATCATCTACGAGGGGTAAGTCCCGCGCATCAACACTCTGCAACCACTGCTAATATCCTACAGTGAAAAGGGTGTTGATTCCAATGTTGTCATTCTCAACGATGTCCACGTCGACATTATGGACTACATCAAGCCCGCACAATGCACGGAGACGCAATTCCGGACAATGTGGACCGAGTTCGAATGGGAGAATAAGGTCAACATCAATTCCAAGGCCAAGACGTTGCGCGATTTCTTGAAGCAACTCATGGCATGCACGAACATGAGCTGCTTGACTCCAGAGGCGTCAATGAAGGGCGACTGCCAATTCTTGTCAGCGAACTTGTACGCCAGGAGTGTATTCGGTAAGTCCTCAAATTCTTTTATACATTGGCAATACTGACAGAAAGCAGGCGAGGACGCTCTCGCCAACTTGAGTATCGAAAAGGAAGGTGACAATGGCCCTATTACTGGGTTTGTGCGCATAAGAAGTCGCTCCCAAGGCTTGGCGCTGAGCCTGGGGTCGTTGAAGGGTCTGAACAAGGTCGGGGTGGCATGATTTGTCGGCTAATAAGCATTGTCACACGTCCGGGGTAGCGGGAGATGGGCGTTCGTTCCTACTAAGAAACGGTAGCAAAAGGAAGGTTGGTTGCTTCTTTCGTCTACAGGTCTTCGCGTACGACGCGTTGGGTCGATAGACATGTGGGTGGGATGGATCAATGTTAATGTAGCATTGCCGTATCAAAGACATCAGAGTTCAAATTCACATTCAATATCACAGTCTCTGAGCATCACAGGAAGAGTCGCTTCGTGTCACGTTCTTGGCTGGTTCGTGATTGGGATGCCTCGGTCCGCGAGGGTGCAGGGTCCAACGGGAATGTTTCCTTTTTGTTTAGCACCAACTATCCGCCAGGATCCGCGCCCTGGCGACAGGGACGGTACCCGTGAGCGTGACATGACCGTCGTCAGCGTGCCTCTTGCGCTGGTCTAGTCTCCAACTGACTCCTGGTCTCGCTCTTGCCCTCTTCACAGCATGCTGCGCGTCGTTCCTGCGACATTTCATTGATCATGGCTTCGCTGGCTGGCTCCGACGATCCCTTCAGAGACCCGCTGCTCACTACCAACGCCGCTCCTTCGCAGCCGTCGCCCGACTCGGCACCCACCCAGGAGCAGATGAATGTTCCCGACACACTCGCTGTGGGCAGAAACGCCTCCCTGACCCTTGGGACCGACTCCTTGGTCGTACTAGGTGGGGAGATTACTCAAACATCACAGCGGCGCAACACTCACACAGCACAGACGAAGCACTCCTAGATAGCAAAAGCGCCAGCTGCTGCGGTCTGTCTCTTGCTGGCAGTAAGTGCTAATACCGCGTCTAGACACCAACACCCGCTTACGCGACGCAGAGAACAAATCCACTCGTTCCATACCCTTTCACAACATCCTCTGGGCCGAGCACTCAGAGGATGGACACATCACCGTCCAATATGCGCAGAACACATCGAAGAAGGCCGTTCGCCCTGCCATCATCAGCTACTCTCTCGACAAACCCGACAGTCGCATAACGGAAGCATGGATAGAGAAGCTACTCGATCGCGCATACGGAGCGTCGCAACGGCGCAAACGGATCAAGGTGCTCGTCAATCCGTTTGGCGGCCAGGGCGGCGCAGTCAAGACATACCACAAGTTCATTGCACCCATCCTGGCGGCTGCGCGCTGTGAGCTCGACGTGGAGAAGACACAGCACAACGGCCACGGCGTGGAGATTGCGCAGAACATGGACATCGAGGCATACGACGTAGTCGCCTGCTGCTCTGGAGACGGCATACCACACGAAGTCTGGAACGGGCTGGGCAAGAGGACCGACGCAGCTCGGGCGCTCCAAAAAGTAGCCGTCGCACAGCTCCCCTGCGGCTCCGGCAACGCCATGAGCCTCAACTTCAACGGCACCGACGACCCCAGTCTCGCCGCCCTCGCCGTCGTCAAGGGCCTGCGCACCCCGCTCGATCTCTCCTCGATAACCCAAGGCGACCGCCGCACCCTCTCCTTCCTCTCCCAGTCCGTCGGCATAGTAGCCGAAACAGACCTGGCGACAGAACACCTGCGCTGGATGGGCAGCGCACGCTTCACCTGGGGTTTCCTCGTCCGCCTCTTCAAAAAGACATGCTACCCCGCCGACATCGCCGTAAAAGTCGAATACGACAACAAAACCGCCGTCCGCGAAGCCTACCGCACCGAATCCGCAAAACCACCTCGCAGCACCGACGACCGCGTCCTCCCCGCTCCTGACACAGGTCTTCCAGAGCTGAAATACGGCACAGCGACCGATCCCCTCCCTGCAGGCTGGCAACTAATCCCCCACGACCACCTCGGTAACTTCTACGCCGGAAACATCGCCTACATGTCTCCCGACGCAAATTTCTTCCCCGCCTCCCTTCCCTCCGATGGGTGTCTCGACCTCGTCCGTATCCGCGGCGATATCGCGCGGCATACGGCTGTGAAGACGTTGCTGGCCGTGGAGAACCACTCTTTCTTTGATATGGACCATGTGGATTACCAGAAGGTTAGTGCGTATAGGATTATTCCGAAAGGGCAGAGGGATGGGTATATTAGTATCGATGGGGAGAGGGTTCCTTTTGAGGGGTTTCAGGTTGAGGTGCATAGGGGGTTGGGGACTGTGTTGAGTAAGAGTGGGCATTTGTGTGAGGCGAGGGGGGTTTGAGGTGTAGGAGCTGGGGATGGTTGGAGAGATTGGGGTTGTGTTGGACTTGCCGCTGTGTGATATAGATATTGGGCGTTTGCGTTAGGATACCAATGTTGTTTTTTAGCTGGAGTAATGAAGTTGGACTGTTGCTCTTTTTGGGAGATGGCCTTCCTTACGTGGTTTCCATCAGTTCGTGGAGTTCTACCATCGCCTATGAAAATTTCCCAATCGCCCCCCTTACCAACCCATTTAGTCCAATTAGCCAGTTCTTTCATCCCACTCGCTAGTCGCACCGCCTGTGATGTTCTGTGCCCCCACATTCGATATTCCCACCCCAATATCAGACGTTCAGCCTTTCTATACGTTTTGCATTCGACTCTATACATATAGCGGGGTGACAAAATTCCATCGAAGAACAACCACAAAAGCTGCTTGGCGCAGCGGAAGCGCGCCGGGCTCATAACCCGGAGGACCTCGGATCGAAACCGAGAGCAGCTAGATGTTGTAAATCTTCTTTTTTGCTATTTCTTTGCACGCGGGTACGAGTGAAATAGGGTGCGAGGTTGGGGCTTTGTTATTCTTTTTGGACTTTGCGACGTCTTTGTGGCAGGTTCACGTCGCAGGGGACTATTACTATTCAAAGTTGGACTCTTTTTTGGCAATACCTAAACTTCACTATGTATTCAACCTTGAATCTCGGTGTATCTACAGGAAGGTAGCATGCATTCGCTCTTGCGCATGCTGGCACGAATGTTCGCTGCGGTCTACGGGTGCCACCTTCCTCTCGGTAAAACTTCGGCGATGCGTCAGCCCGGCCATGCCCCGCTGCTGGTCTTCCGTCGCATGCTCTCCGTGAACTCTATCCTGCACAACACCTCAATTTTTGTTACCTTGTGTAACCTCCGCGCTTCAAAATGTCTACGGACGCGATGGACCTTTCGGGACAGCCACCCACATATCCACCCAATCTATTGGGTATTCCGACAGAGCTTCAACTAAGGATTATTGATCACGTACGCTGGTCCGCATGCTAGCTTAACGCGTACTGATCGAGCTAGATAACCCTGAAGAGCGATCTCACATCACTGTGTAGAACATGCTCAGCTCTGCGTGTTCTCGCGAACCCGCTTCTATATAGGCGCATCGTTCTGCGCCTATGGAGTAGGCGTGCGGTCGATCGTCTCAACAAGTCCAATTTCGCAGGCGCTGGCTTACATTACCAGCACACGAAGGAGGTTATCATCGAAGACGAAGCCATTGGCGAAGAACTCTACACGATACATACCGGACGGATCTGTCCACCTATTCTGGATCGTCGGAGTAATGCTACTTACCTAACTGAGTCTGAGAAAGACAACGCCGCCTACGCGTTTCTGCAAACCATGCATCATAACCAATTAGAACGCTTATGGTAAGTTAATAAGTGAATGCGCTAGCATTCGATGTGGATGCTGATGAGATCAGGTACCATTCGCGGCGGCCTCTCTCGGCAGTGGTTAGAAATCATCTGCGCCACTACCAGACGAAAATACAAGACCTACGAATAGGCTTATACACCGATCCCGGATCGCCCGACGTACTACCCCAGATACTCTGTGGTCTGCAACGCCTCGATCTTTATGTCGATAATTCAACAAGCCTCATTCTGTTGTACATGAACATCGAAGCCGTGGGCGCCAACTTGAAATCGTTGTCGCTGACAGCAGCCAATTCCATGGATATCAGTACGGAACTGGATGCCTGGGCAATGGGCGAGGAGAACGAATACACCCAATGCACACCCAAGCTCGAAGAGTTCACGCTGTCCAATTTTATCTATGACAACGCTTACGAACAGTTCTCTATAATTGTCAACTATCATCAGCTTGTGCGATTAGGGCTTTTCGGGAACTCCGGCGGAACCCATTACTTTCTCCAGGAGCTTGCCGAAAGTAGCGAGGAGAACAAGCTTCGTTTGAAGCATATTGCTGTGGAAATTGCGGGTGACATCGCGGAATCCACTGAGCTCGTTCCTCTGCGATTATCCTTGAATCAGATATACAAGGCCTGCGAACCCCTTGAGAGCTTCCATATACACTACCCGCACGGCGACCACTCATCCGACTTTGATGTGTACGACTTCCTAAAGCCGTTCACTGATCGCGGGCACAATTTGCAAAGTCTGAGCTACCACGTCGAACAATGGAACTGGGGCCAATTAAACCACGACGTTATAGATGTGCTGTACCGGGTAAGCCAGGAATCCTTTCGACAAGTAAAACAGCTTGCGGTGTACTTCGAGGAAGCATTGATGCTTGACGGCCTATGGAATGAAGAGGCCAGATTTATGATCTTTATGGTAAGTGGAAGCTATCGCATTCAGAGCGGCACCTCGTTCAAGGAGGCCACAAAACACGCTGGAGTCTGCGTAGACGTTAGTTCGCTTAATTTGCACGTTTGCATCGTGCTTTAGGCTGCAGACCCATTAAGTTCCTTCCTTGTATGAGGTGGTGGCGGATCTTGAGCATGATATCTAACATCTATCAGACTTGGATAGGGTATTTCCGAGAAGTACGCTTGCTCCACCTCCGCGTGCCACACTGCGTTCGCATGGGGCAGAGCAAACACGGGTGGGACCCCGCACTATTGATCCTACAGCTGCAAACCTTCGCAAACCGAGTCTTTGAGTTTCTAGGTCCAGAGTCGAAGTTGGACGCTCTGGTGATCGGTCATGTGTCGACTTTGCGGAACCCAGAAAACCTAGACCGCGTGCGTCCACTTCCGCAGCAATGCTTTCTCCGAGGCGAGCAAAGAGATATCCTAGGTCGTACCGTCCCCGTTGCGGTTCCTGTTACGAGGATGATGTTGCGTGAAACGCAACCGTACACAGATATTCTGGAAGTCGACTACCGTACTGCCGCCGATGAATGGGAGGCGTGGGCAACTCGAACGATGTGAGGATTTGGGTCGAGGGAGAACGTCATCAAAAAGATCTTTTAGCCCGAAGCATACAGCGTCTTAGGTGCTGTCTGTGTATAAACATTTGATGGAATGTATGTAGCGAATACAAAGCGCATTCTAGCCATCCCTAGTGCAGCGAAGGCATTGTATCTGCGATCATGCTATGCAGTTCCCATCAGATGTCCATCGTTCGGTTGGCTCGATTTGTTCGGTTCTGGTACAATAAATTCGAGTCCAATATGCAGTTCCCAGAGCATTTCGCGTGAAATGTTGCGAAGTAGGCTTAACCTGAATCAGTCACAAGGAACTTCCTCATTGGGGCAAGAACCAAACGCTGACCTTGATCGGCTACTGAAGCCGATGCGACTCGTCGTTCCTTCACGGTAGCTTCCCACATGCCGCAACGACGCGCATTGCCGGAGGATGCATACATAGCGCTAACGTGTGTTCTTTATTCGAGAGTCAATCGAGCGCTGACACGATAGCCTTGGCTGCAGGTCTAGCAAGGGTGGATGCAATCCTTTTGGCTCCGCGGCGTCTAGATGCATACTGCAAGGGTGGTCGCTACAACCCCTCTTATGCAATAAGTTCATTGAAAGAGACAAGCGACCGGCTTGTCTTTGGTTCTGGCTATCGCAATTCTTTGAGCTGCAACCGCCATGTTGCAACTTAACACCGACTGCCAGAGACGAGTGCTCAACTTCGCATGTTACCCGCCTTATCCCCAGCAATGAGGTACTGACGAAACCAGGTAAATACCCGAAGTGATCTGAAATCACTATGTTTGGTGTCAAAAGAGCTCAACCAACTCGCCCTCGAAAAGCTTTACGAGCGCATCGACATTCGCCTCTTCAGCGAAAACAACACTAATTACATCCTTGAACTACTAAAGGACGTAAAAGAGAACCTCCAGTATACCAGAGAACTCGTCGTAGAAGATGAGTGCATCGCCGAGGAAACCACGTCTGTACAGTACGGCAGCGTTGGACTACCTGACCTTAAATGTTGGACCGGTTCTGGCGCCACGAATGCAGATCCTGAAGTACGCGACAGTCGACTTGAGCAGGTCTTGGATCTCATCCCGGCAAATGCCCTGCGCACATTCCGGTAGGGCTGAAGCTACACATGTCGCCTTGTGTTGCGTGCTGACATCTAAAGTTTCCTCGGTCGACGATCACTACCGTGGTGGCTGCATAAGAAGCTCGCATCGAACCAGAGAAATATCACAGACCTTCAAGTCAGTCTTACTATGGGTCTCTTCGACAACTCTATAAACATACTACCAGAACTGTATCAACGCGAAACGGATTTGAAACGACTGGACATGTATATCGTCGATGGGTCGTCACTCAACAACCTGTTACTTGACTATGTTGAAGCCGTCGGAAGCAACCTGCAATCCCTGTCTTTGAGCGCCAACATTAACACTGACGTTTCCAAGCTGCTCCGGAACCACGAATGGCCACCATATCAGCCCAAACTCCCACTAAAAGAACTCAGATTGACTGGCTTGACATTGATGCACATGTACAACTCCCTATCGACAATCATCGATTTCAGCAAGCTGCAAAAGCTCGACCTAGTAGAATGCGCCGGAGCCTTCGGATTACTGGCGGACATTACAAATGCAATGCCAAAACAGCAGTTCGATCTTACGCACGTTGCCTTGAACGAATTTGTTCCTCGAATTAGCATCATCAATACTGATGACGAGCGCAACATAAGTTTGGTCAACTTCTTCAAATCTTGTCCAAACCTGCGCAGTCTGCACTTTGGTCATTACGATCTCGAAGCTCTACCACCAGGGTTGAGACAGTACCTACAAAGTAGAGGCAAGGAGCTCACAAGCCTGAGTCTATACTCCAAAACCGAGATAATCGACGCCGGAGAGTTCGACCTTGTCTGCCGATCATGTCCAAATCTCGAACAATTTGCCGCCGGGATCGACGAAGAATTTATAATGGCAGATGGGTTGTGGTACCACAACCTGAGAGACTTCGTAGTAAGCCTTACCAACCCGTCAAGTCACTATAGCACATATTAACTCCCCACAGGACTCCCTCCGCCGCCTCCCCAAACTCCGTACCCTCCATGTCCACCGCTCTCGCATCTCTCTGGTCGGTGGCCTTGGCAACGGATACGGTAACCGCTGGAACACATCCATGATCTCGCTACAAGTGCAAAAGTTCGCAAACCTGCTCTTCGGCGAACTCTACACAACAAACCCAAATATCGCCCTCGAAACACTCATTGTAGGCCACTTGGGGCCGCTCTTAAGGAAGAGCAATGCTGTCGAGCTGGGCAATGGGCGTGAGGTCAATTCGCAGCATTATCTACCGCAGTTTTGCTTTGTGAGGAGTCGGCAGGAAGATCTTTTGGGGAGGACGGCGACGACGGGGGTGATGGTGAGTCGGGCTGTGTTGAAGAGGACGCATGATTATATGGGTATTTTGGATGTGGATGCTGGGGTGGAGGCGTGGGAGCAATGGGTTGGTCAGGCTATCTGATGTTTGGGTAAAGAATCTGCACTGGGATAGGTGGCATTTGGATTGCAATACCCAAATTTGATCCAGGTCATTGCCTAGCTGAGAGGATACATTACCTCGAAGCCTACCTACTTATCCAGGATAAGTAGCATGTATGCGGCAAAACGTGACACGGGTTGTAGCTACCTTTAATGACGCCCTAGAGTACAAAGGTGTGTTTGAAATGCAATGGTGTCAAAATGAATATATGAGCAAATGAGGGTCTCATCAAAGAAGCCGACAAGTCAATTCCAGCCTTCTGGCCGTATCAAAAGGTCGCAAAACAAGACTCAATACAAGCACATGGATCTACCTACTTAACGATCCCTATCCTCATCCCTCCCCAGCCAAACAATCTGCTTCTTCCACACAGCCCAGCAGCATATTGTAGGCCGAATCTCCAAGACAAAGTGCGTGAACGAGAGTGTCAAGCGTAGAGCTGTCATGTTGGGCCAAGACTGAAGATGGTCGTTAACGTAGTGGGAATCTAGTCATCGTCGTGTGGTGGTCCAAGCCACATAGGTCGCGGGCCGTCATGCATCCCTTCTGTGGTACCAAGGAGCGGGGTTGGGAGGTAGATCCGCACACGACGGAGGTACGATCGCACGCACACGTGTAAAAACGGGCACTAAGTAACCGAGAAGCAGTAGGAAGAGGAAGATCTTTCCGACTGGATTCGCGGGACGCAGGACAAAGATCGGCAATGGTAGTAGCACGATATTTCATGTGAGCAATGGTAATGGTAGAACGCCAGCCCATGTCAAAAGATCAAGCAATTGCATGTTGCTACGATGAAGTGAAAACTGTTCCATTCCGCGAACCATGTATGCTGTCCCGTCTCGCGAGGGTATAGTGATATAGATAGAACGCCGTAACTAAAGTAAATCAAGGAGTCACAGTCCACGCGTAGCGTTCCTGCGCACTCAACTCGCCCAACACCGAGCCTGAACGACTAAGTCAGAAAAAAGGAAAGACGTAACGGAACATGAGATCAGAGCCAGCTGATGCTACAAGCGTCGTGCTATTGCGCGAGGACCTTGTCTACGGCAGCACCAGCCAGTAGCTGAACGTCTTGTATGCTGCCCTTGACGTCGATGATCTCCACATCCTTCAGTTGCTTGCACTCTGTCTCGTCGGGCTCTTCCAGCGCAGCGAACTGGCTCTCGACCATGGCGTCCTTCATGTAGTGGCCTTGTCTGGCGCGGACGCGGGCGAGGAGGGTCTCCATGTCAGAGCGAAGGTAGACGAAGTGTACGTTGGCGTTTGGGTCCTCGTCGTAGAGGCGGGCTGTGCGGATGACGTCGCGGTACTTCTTCTTGAGCGCACTGCAGGTAACGACGACACCCTTGGCTCCGTTCTTCAGTGCAGTGATGGCCTGGTCTCGTAGAAGGATGAGCCAGTCCCAGCGGTCTTCGTCGTTGAGAGGGATGCCGGCGGCCATCTTGTCGATGTTTGCTTTTGGGTGGAACTGCGAAGACGTCAGTATGCGTTAGATAAATCACAAGCGAATGGCTAACCTCGTCGCCCTCGATGTAGTCAAATCCATATCGGTCCGAGAGGTGCTTTGCAACAGTGCTCTTGCCGCACCCTGCTGGACCGGTGACGATGAGGATGTGGTGGTGGGTCGAGATGGTCATTTTGGCGGTCTCGGTCTCGTTCATGACAGCCATGGACTTGGATGGCGAGCCTGTATTGGAAGCCGGTGGTGTAGGTGGTGATGCATATTGTATGGGCTTTGGCTGCGATAGATCGACGGTTTGCATCATGGTGGTACAGAGTTTGGAGTTTGAGTCAAACTGTTGTGGAAATGAGTGTTTGTAGTACGTGAGGCTCTTGTATGACGCTAATGCTTGAGTTGGGCTCCCGAAAACAAAGGGACGGGTGTCGGGTAGGGTTAATATAGTAGTATATTGCGATGTGGTCGGGACCAAATATAAGTGTATGCAGACTGTAAGCAATCAACGGCGCCCCGATTCGCGCTGGGGCGTGGTGCGTTTTAAGGCGTGGGACCTTGGAATACTGGTCTGGAAATTTCTCCCGCAAGCCATGACGGCAACGGCAAGGGTGAAATGCGATGGAGCTTGTCGTTATTCTGGGAGCCAAGCCACGATGGCACGCTCCGAAAAGCAAACAGCGAATGACGAGCAAGGGCGTGTAGCTAGTTTCAGTAACAGGCCCAGCCGGCTGTAACAGCCGCGAAGCCGGGGCTGGAGAGAGAGAACTTCGGCGTTTGAAAGTGGACCTGTCGCGTGTGGGATGACGAGTAGCGCATCAGTCTCCCCGCATGAGGACCCCAGTCCTTCTCAGGTACTTATGCATCCCGCATGCCGGTGACCACGACATGCCAGCGCAGACTTGAGTTCTGAACGCCAGGCAACTGCAGGGCGCTCTGCTGAGTAGATTGCGATTCGACTGAGTTTCTGCCTGTGAGCAATAGACTTCAGCTCACCGCTTTGACTCGCGGTACGAAGCTGTTTGATAATGGCGCGTGGGGGTTAGGCGAGGAATCTGAAAGTGCATCGGGCCGGTGAGGATCGAGGCTGCGAACAGTGTTTGAGTTGCGATTAGTCGATTAGTCTTTGGGGCGGCATCCGGCAGATGCTCCGGATAGTCCAGACGGGTGAGAACGTTTGAGCCAGACGTGCAGGCAGACCCGATCAGTCACGACGCCGCGATATTGCAGCTGCTCGTGTGCAGCTCACCGCCAAACGAGTGCATATTTGCTGTTTCGTATGCAGGTGCCTATCTCCGCAGGCTCGGGAGGGGCATGTGGAGGACCATCTGACCCGGCGAGAGCAGCAGTCAGACGTGACGTGGATCCAGTGAAGAACAAAACAAGGATACCTGGGGGTGAATATGACGAGGTGGTGTTGGTGAGGGATCGGGGAAGGCGGGGCAGAATGCGCTCACGTGACGGGCTCAACGGGGACAAGCGTCATCAGCTGTTCCAAGGTTGCCATGGATCTGGGGCGCAGCTCTCCACACCACGGCCATCCAGTCGAGCGCCGCCGACCACCGACGCGACGAGTGCTTCTGATACCGCTTCCGAACACGCGCCAATCCACCGGCACATCTCTGGCCCGGCATGTCGTACTTCTTCTCCACCCCGGTCGACATTGACATCGTGCTCGAGGACCTCGACGACCGCTCCGCCGTTGATGTCAAGCTCGACAAGAACCGCAAAGAGAAGGTACCGCTGTACCTGGATGGCGAATCAGTCAAGGGCCAGGTCACCGTAAGGCCCAAGGATGGCAAGCGCCTGGAGCATACCGGCATCAAGGTGCAATTCATCGGCACCATTGGTAGGCATCCGCCGTCCCGAAGCTTCACCATAGCTATATCTCGGCGCGCAGTGCTGACATAATGCGCCAGAGATGTTCTTCGACCGCGGAAACCACTACGAGTTCCTCTCCCTCGGCCAAGAGCTAGCAGCCCCCGGCGAGCTCCAGCACCCGCAGACGTTCGACTTCAACTTCAAGAACGTCGAGAAGCAATACGAATCCTACAATGGCATCAACGTCAAGCTGCGCTACTTTGTGCGCGTCACCGTGTCGCGGAGAATGGCAGATGTAGTCAGAGAGAAGGACCTCTGGGTCTACTCCTACCGGATACCGCCTGAGACCAACAGCTCCATTAAGATGGACGTCGGTATCGAAGACTGCCTGCACATTGAGTTCGAGTACTCGAAATCGAAATACCACTTGAAGGACGTGATTGTGGGCAGGATATACTTCTTGCTGGTACGGTTAAAGATCAAGCACATGGAGTTGTCCATCATAAGAAGAGAGACAACGGGGGCTGCTCCCAACCAGTACAACGAGAGCGAGACCCTGGTGCGCTTCGAGATCATGGACGGCTCACCATCGCGAGGTAAGCACCATGACCCGTTTGCGACAGGCATTACTGACGACGTCAAGGTGAAACAATTCCCATCAGGTTGTTCCTCGGAGGCTTCGACCTAACACCCACCTTCCGCGAAGTCAACAAGAAGTACTCCACCCGATACTACTTGAGTCTAGTACTCATCGACGAAGGTATGATATATGCACATCTCTGCGCAACTGTGACTGACCTGTATCCAGACGCACGTCGATACTTCAAGCAATCCGAGATCGTGTTATTCCGACAAGCACCGGAAGGCCTGACGTTGGCCCAGGAGCAGAACAAGCTGATGGCAGTGTCGTGAGGACGTAGATAGAAGTCACTGCATAGATATTTGGAAGCTGTTGAGCGTGGGGTGTGGGATCTGCCCAAGGCTGCCCATCGACCCACCATGCGAATGTTCGGACCTCGGGATCGGGCTCAACATTGTACTATCACACCGCGGCGGCGGGAGCTTACGCAGACACTGGGGCGCTCTTCAGTGCATGGATGGTGCATGTGTAAATACAGCAATGCAGTCCTCCAGGGACGGCAATGTCGCAGGGAAATCATCGGGCAAACGTAGAAATCTTGGCCGAGTCTCCACATTACGATGCAATAGTGCGTCTTCACCTGCATGATCGTGGTGCACCATCGGCTCTGGTCCCGAACTCTCTGTCAGACAAGTGTGGCTTGTGTGATTGTCTGGGTAGGCCATGAGTCGGCATCGCCGCTGCCGGTTGTTGCGGCCTCTCGAGCGTTGTTGTGCTTATTGGTCGAGGCTGTTCTTGAGGCTCTCGGATGATCTGCACCTAAACATTCCCTACGCGGTTCCTGCATCAGTGCCTCTTACACTTTCCGAGGAGACTTTTGATGACTCTTTCGCTCACAAGACACCATAATGTCACTTTGTCGCTTCGATTATGTCGACGACAAAGGCTTCAGCTCCGCGGAACGCGCATGCGACCCACAGTAAAGATGCCGATGTTCAGCAATCTCACGATCCGCACGACGCCACACTTTGCCGCAACCCTGAGGATCGCGATGGAACCCTTCTTATCAGGGCATACCCACTAAAGCTGAGTTCCCGAAACGGTACGCACCCACTCAACATGAAAACCCGTCCAAATGATTGGGATGTGTGATTCCGCGTCACCAGGAGTCTCCCCGAAATAATGGGGACGTGGGCGTACTAGGCAAAAGCTTCCCTGCAAATGACGTTTTGCATGGAATTCTTCACTTTCCCATGGCTTAATCGCGGGACTACTTTTTCACCATGTTGTACACTTGGCACCTCCCACGCCCCTGTTTTACTCCCACGTCCTGTACATATCAGATATAAGGTTGTCAGGGTCTGCTTGCCTTGAGACGTAGCAAGAAACGAGCATACAACATGTCGCAACAACAGCCGAACAAAGCTGACAACAGTAAGTTACCGAACAAGCTCAAACTTTTCTTCCGAAAAGCCAGAAGACTTCTTTCTCATTGGCATCAAGAAATTACATGTGCTAACGTTCTACAGGGCAGCAGTCAGATTACTTTACATCCCAAAGACCTGCAGCAACGCCTGAGCCACGACAGCAACCCACGGCAACACGCATGCCATCGGGTTTGGCACAAAGCCGTTCCAATGCACCAAGTATAGGAAGACTTGACACTGCTCGCTTGGAGTCACGACCCGAGAATGAGCGCGCCAACACTACTGCAACTGGTATGACCCAAATGGGCACCATCAGAAACACCCCCACTGCCCGAAAGAGCCGGGCAACTCGTGAGAATGTCAGGCAAGAGCCGCCGCGACGACCTGAGAAGAAGCAACAGCAGACTGTAGACGTCGAGAATGACTACTTCTCACTGAACCCTTGGTACAATGAGCAAAAGTCAAAGCCAGTCTTCGGTTTGGGCGCGCCTTTACCACGCACTGTACGTAAGGGTATGTGGTGGGGAAGAGGCGACCTGCGAAAGTCTCTGTACCGGGTCGATGAAGGGGATGCAGATGGTATTGCTCGACAAGATGGCTTAGGCTTCCACGATGGCAAAGGTAAGTCTTCATATGCTCCCTTGATGTGACCGCCCTCAAGAGTTTTCATTCTAACCAGAACGTGAACAGATTTGGAAGAAGATTCAGAAGACTCTCAGGAGACGCTAGACGGCGTTGGTCGACCACACCAACGCCGCGACCCCTCGCATTTCCAGACAACAGTTGACGGCCGCAATGTCAATATGAAACGCGTGCCAACTAGTGAAGCTGATCAGGTGCTTGGCCGCAACCAAGAACCGAACGCTCGCAGCCACGAACATCATGAAGGCCAAGAACGTGCTCCCGTCAACGAGCACGGTTTGGAGTTTTCTGATGGACGCGGGCAGCAGCAGCACTTTGGTTTACAAGACGGTCTTCCGCCGCTCCAGGAACACGATACGAACATGTCTTCCCAGACTAAGCAGGAAGAGAAAGAGATTCAGCAACGGGAGCATGAGGCAGAACGCGAGTTCTACAATCAGTACCGCAACCCGATTGCTAGGCTGCGAGCCAAGTACCCCCAGGCACCTGCCGAGTTCCTCGCCGTACGTATCATCAAGTCTTCTGACAGCAACCTTACTAATGCTGTGTAGACGTTTGTGTACCTCCTTATTGGACTTTGCGTCAATCTTTCAGTCGCCACATCTCAAGAAGGCACCGGCAGCTTCGAGACCCAAGCCTGGGGATGGGGCTTCGCAGTCATGATTGGCATCTACCTCGGCGGTGGTGTCAGCGGTTCACATCTCAGTCCCACAATCTCAATCTCGCTATCCGTCTACCGTGGTTTCCCCTGGAAGATGGCAATCGTCTACATCTTCATGCAGTTGCTGGCAGGACTTTGTGCCGGCGCCGTAGCTTACGCGTAAGTCACATCTTCTGCCGATCAAAATGCCTCAGTTGCTAACTTCGTGATAGCCTTTACGCAGATGCTATTCATGCAGTAGACCCCGGTCTTACCCTGGAGATGACCGGCAAGGCTCTCTTCCCGCAAGGACCCATTTACTCGACTGCGACCGGCTTCTTCAACGACTTCGTCTACATGGCCATCTTCGTCTGCGTCATCTTCGCCCTAGGAGACGACCAGAACTCGCCTCCAGGCCAAGGTATGACAGCCTTCGTCGTCGGTCTTACAGGTTTCGTCACCATGATCGGGCTTGGCTACAACACTGGTTTGGGTATCTCACCAGCGCGCGATCTTGGCCCAAGACTCATCGGGTTGTGGGTTGGATACGATTCGGCCTTTGAGAACGGGTACTGGGCGTATGGTTCTTGGGGCGCATCTATTGCTGGCGCGTTGTGTGGTGGCTTGATGTATGATTTGTGTATCTTCGTGGGTGGAGAGTCGCCTGTTAACTACAGGTGGCCGCAGCCTGGAGATATCAAGTGGAAGGCTAAGGAGAAGAAGGATAAGGCCAAGGATAGGATTCAGCAGGTGGCGTAAATCTTCGCAAGTAATGTTAATAGTTGAGAGAAAACAGTTCGATGCATTAACTCGGTAGATTTCTGGTGAGGATGCAGTTGCGTCGGTTGATGTGCGAGGAAGCATGTGCGGCTCCGGGAATAGGACGACCGGAAACAGAGCCGCTGCGCGTCATGCCCAACCACCGATCCGCAACTTCTCCATTGGATATCTCACGATCATGACCTCTGGGGAGAAGGTCACATCCTATCGGAAGCTTCGCCGACGGATAATCGTACGCTGCGCGCAAACTTATCGCTAGCGATGAGCTTTGTGATGCTTATAGAGTCTTATGTGTGCCGCACATCTTTCATCACCGTCACCACATCAGCCACCATGCCATGACAGCAACACCCAAGAACACATAACAAGGGCACCCTGCAAAAACAAGAAGAATCACTAAAAGATGTCTACATCCCCAAACACCGACGACACGACCCCGTCGTCCAAGCCAGAAATGCTACACCAAGAGCAGAAACAACCAGACCGCAAAATCGGCATGCGCTCACGCCTGAAACATTTCACATTCGCCTGGTTCCTCTCAACAATGAGCACAGGCGGTCTCGCCCTCGCCATAGCAGAAACACCACATCAATTCCCCGGTACGCTCTCCCTCCCCTCCACCACGAATCTCCCATCGCTCCTACCAGAACTAACAAACCCACCCCCAGGCCTCCACCAAATCGGCCTAACCCTCTTCCTCCTCAACATAGCCCTCTTCCTCGCTCTCACCACGCTAACAACCCTCCGCTTCCTCCACCACCGCACCCACTTCCTATCTTCCTTCCTCCACCCCCAAGAATCCTTCTTCCTCGGCTCCTTCTACCTCTCCCTCAGCGTCATCCTCGCCGGCATCCAAACCTACGGCATCACCCACGGTCCCGGCTACCCCTGGCTCATCGACGCGGTTTACGTGTTGTATTGGATCTACGCGGGGGCTTCCCTCGCGAACTCCGTGTTTCAGTATTGGGTGGTGATGGAGTGGGGGAAGGTACGGCCTGTGCCGCCGTTGCCGAGTCTTTTTCTAGCGGGGTATTCGGCTATGTTGACGGGGACGGTGGCGAGTCTTGTGGCGGAGAGCCAGACGGATGAGAGGAAGGTGGTGGTGGTTGTGAGTGGGGTTGCGTATCAGGGGTTTGGGTGGTGTGTTAGTCTCATCGCTATAGTCGGTTTTGTACGCAACTTGCTGGACAACGGGTTTCCGCCAGCTCAGTTACGACCCGCGTTGTTTATACCGGTGGGGAGTGCTGCGTACACAATCGTCGCGTTGATTGGGCTGGCGAATGCGGTGCCGGAGGGGATGGAAGGGGGCTACTTTGCGAAGCATCCTGCTGCTCCAGAGATTCTTCGCGTTCTGGCGCTCTTCACGGGGATTTTCCTGTACGTCTTCAGTTTCTGGTTATTTGCGATTGCGTTTCTAGGGAACGTGGGAGTGGTGGGTAGGATGCCGTTTAGTCTGACGTGGTGGGCGTTCATCTTTCCGAATGTGGGGTTTATGCTTAGTACGGGTGTGTTGGGAAAGGAGTTGGAGAGCGAGGCTATACTTTGGGTGGCGAGTGTGATGACTGTTATGCTAGTAGCAATCTGGATGGTGACGGTTGTGGGATGTGTGAGGGCGGTTTGGAGGAAGCAGATTGTTTGACCGGGGAGGGATGAAGATAGGGATCGTTGAGTATTGGAACCAGGCCATATTCATTCTTGTCTAGCAACAAAGCTTACTATTACTCTAGCTATTTCTGCGAGCTCAACAACTCTCTTTCGACAGTGAAGTCAACCTGTTTTTCGATACCAGCCATTGGCCTCAATTCCGTTTCACTGCCCCAGTCGTTGCTTGCTTTCCTGCCTTGCTCACTGCTTGGCAGTCTCAGACCAGTATTGTGACTCCATCTGTTTCCACTAAACACACGCCGTACTTTACTTTGCGGACCCGACGCAGCTGGTTCAGCAGAACCGTATACTGGCGGCGCAGACGGACCGGGTCGCGTTCGCCCCATCTTCCCATTGAGCAGGTACCTGAATGCTGGTAGTGTAGCGACTATGACAGAGACAGATGACTCGATGTGACTCCACATGCTGAGTAGCACAGGCCCATCAGCAAGCGTGGCGGGATCAGGGTTCGAAGTAGCCTTTGTGACTTGTGCGAGGCGCGCGAACGCAAAGGCGATGATGATGGTGCCGAGGGAGAATATAACGGCTAGCCCAAACTTTTGTTGGGGTGAAACTTGTAGTTTGCGTAAGAGGTTTAGAGGGAGGAGCATGATGAGGGCGTCGGCAATGACGTCGGCGCTCGTTGCGAACTTGATGGATGCGTCGGCTCGGATGAGGTCTTCGGGGTCGCTGCATCCGGCTGTGCGGGTTAGAAGGGTCTGCGGAGAAGGTATGGGGTGGGGTACTGACTTGCGCTCCAGTACTTGGTTAGTGGTCGGCAGGTAAGGAGGTTGGAGGCAATGCATGCGAGATAGAGGAGTAGGACTAGTACGAAGCTTGCCCACCATGCACGCATGTATACTGGCAGTCCTAGTACCAGCCGTCTGAAGAAGAAAAGAATGGAGAACTTGGCTAGTGGTGATACATCAGTAAGATAGCCTGCTCACCAGTTTAGCAAGCCAACTCACCAGCCCACAGTGTAGTCCAAAACAACAGCATCTGGCTGAGCATGAACTTGAGCGAAATACGTGTTCTCTCGATAAATTCATCCGGCGGTAGTGGCAACGGCGTAAGCGGATCCAATATAGCCGCTTTTGAGTATTCCTGCGCAAGAAAGAATTGTGGTAGTAGACATGTGATGACCGCGGAGAGGGCAGTCAAGGAGAACAAGCCGAAGAAGACGAAGTAGTCGTCTGCGAAGAGTCGGTGTTGAGACTTCCATCGTAGAAAGCCCCTAAGGATTTTGCGGAGGAATGATACACCCCAAGGGGTCCATATCAATTGCTGTCTAGGAGTTAGAGCTGTGAACTGTATTGTTGTTGTTGTTCGACTTACCATCAGATCGGTGTAACTGAGCGCCATCGTGGTCTTGACTCAGTGTCTCCACAGCTGGAAGGATGATACTGCAACCTAAATAGTCTACTGCGAGATATGTATCTAGTCTTAACATCGTCGTACATCTCGCCTTCGTCACTATCCCAACACCAAGACTCGCACTCGCATTCGGCCCCATCCTGGTTTGCATCGCGAAGCCTGATCTATGAGCCGGTGGGTGCCGCAAATACGCCGTTTCCTACCTGGTAGTCTTCGATAATTCCGTCCGTACATGGAGTATAATCGATGGCGAGCCAATTCCAACCAGTTGATACGAGTTGAACGGCGAAGTACAGCTGCGCAAGCAGGTGGCGGCAAAATTACGGCGCAATTCTTCCAAGCTGACCCTGCATGAGATTTTCTGTCGCTCGCATTACGAACATCCTACTGAAGTAGCACCTCCGGTACCGTAACTTGATCTCGGCCCTTTTCGAAGCCATCTTCCTAGGTTCCGCGGCGGCCGAACCGATCTCGCGGGTGGACATGGTGCGATTATGCTGTACCTTCCTTCCCGATTAAGCTGATCGTGAAGCATATCAATGAAGACGTTGGGCGATACACCGTATATTCAAAGGGAATGCATGAGTTGTAATGATAGATTCTTTGAACAATTGCCGAACCAGATCGTTGGGATCTTTCATCATGCATCGGCGACCTTCCAGCCACCAGGCATGAGGTTAGTGTACACCTTGAGAGGGTCGTACTTGTTACGAATACTCTTTAACCTCCGCAGGTTGGCAGCGGGATAGCTCTGGAAAATCGGCTGGCCCTTCCCGGCGTCATTCATGTAGAGATAGTCAGCGCTATACGATCCCGCGCGCAGCAAGCTGTTTATACTTGCTGTGATCTCATCAGCAGCAGCCCGCACTTTCGCGTCATCGCTTGCAGAAGACCAAGTAAAGTTCTCCACCATCCAAAAGAAGGGTGCTTTTGAAATATCGATGCCTTGAGGGTTGCCTCCGGTCTTCGCGCTGTGCGAGAGGAATGCCTTGGTGATGGGCTGGAAGGTAATCGAGGCCTGGAGATTGGCAACACTGGGCAACTTGACATTGACGCCGGAAACGAAAGTGTCGTGAATGAGCTGCACGGCCTTTCGGTCAACAACGGACGAAAGTGTGCGGAATTCCTGGCGCAATCCCAATGGCTGCAGGGCATCTGTAGCGGAGATGTAGTCTGACAACGGCTGCAGTGCGTATGAATCAGCGACTGGGGTGAGCTTTGGCGCAGTGAAGTTTTCGAATACTTCGGTTTTGTCAGTGACGGAGTGGTAGAACTTTGCAGCCGCATAGACAGTCATGTTCGCTGCCGGGAAGGTAAGAATAGTCGGAATGATGGCAGCTTTAGGGTCAGACCCCCCATATTTCCCAAAGTTGTACACGCCGTCCAGGTAGCCGGATGCCTGAGTCTGATCGAATTGACCGATGCCGACGTGAACGTCGCTGCCCTCCACCGGTCGCAAGTCAAATCGCGTGACGATGCAGAACGAATTACCGCCGCCCCTCAATGCCCAGAAGAGATCTGAGTACTTGTTCGTTGCCGTCGCTTCGACGATTTGGCCACTTGAAAGCACACACTACCCATTCTTAGTCATGTATAACTTTATACAGAAGATTGGCGACATACCTCATACTTCACAACATTGTCGGAAGCGAATCCGTACTCCGATGAGTAGAAAGAGATGCCACCACCGAGTAACAAGCCGGGAACACCAACGTGGCCCACACGACCACCGACAGCTGCGAGCCCAGATGGTTTCAGATAGGCGTAAACGTCTCTCCACCTGTTCCCGGGTCCGACAGAGACGACAGACTTGTCTGAGGAAAGTGACAAGGTCGTCAGATTGGAAGAAGAGATTAATACGCCGGAGCCATCAATCCCGTTGTAACCAGGGATTGGCATATGCCCTCCACCTCGCATGGCGAACTTGGAACGGGTTAGGGTCATTGTGGTGACCGCATAGG